TTGAAGGTTCAGGGTTTAGGGTTTAAGGTTCAGGGTTTAGGGGTTTTCGCCCCTACCGTGTAGCGGTTAGGGTGTGGAGTGTAATATAGGGGCCTCAAGAATTACCTATACCATTTTGGCGGGGTTCCTTGTTATAACTTATACTATACTTAAGGACCTCCAAACCCTCTTCTAATTACTAAGGCCTCCATAGTAGGGTGCCGGGTTCTGGGTGCAGGGTTTAGGGTATGGGGTGTGCGGTGGAATCTCTCGTGATGAAGGGTTTTCATCGTGTTTATAGTGCTTGATGCACGCCGTAGAAGGCTTGGGGTAAGGCGCTACTGGTTTATGAGAACAGGGTTCTGGAGAACGTAACTGTCGAAGTAGATTGTTCCTCCCGTATCATCACCGGTTGCCCCTCAACAACAGGGGCTTATTTATTCAGATTCAAGAAGGAATCCCAAAGCCAAGAAGGCACAAAGGGTACTGCTGGGGAGCGAGCAAATTCACCTGAAGGAGTATCGCTTGCCCATCGAAAAGGGATATTGGATCCTCTGCGTACGGCTCAAAACAATCGAGCCGCCAGAACCCTAAACCCTAAACCCCTAAACCCTGCAACCCTACCAACCGCGAACCAAATTCTCCGAGGCCCCGGCAGAGCGAAGGCGACGGAGGGCACGGCGATGCGCGATGCAAAAGAAGCTGAGATGCTGCACTGGGCCACCTCAGGGGTCCACTTACTGAGAACTATACCCAAAGGCCCCATAGTAGTTCCTTTTTGGGGTTACCTTATAGGATTCTATATATATGAACCCCAAAAAGGAACTACTTTAGGGCCTATGGGTATATAGAAGGGTTCCTTCAGGGTCATAGCCTTGTCTTTTAGGATTCTCGCAAAGCTTTCAGAAGGATGGCATTACGATTTCGAAGCTCTAGGTTTCTGCGAAGGCTTCGCCGGAAGGGACACAAGGAAGGATGCCTGCCGAAGTGGAGGAGAGGGAAAAAAGGGCCCGCGACACACGAAGCCTAAACTCTACCCCCTAAACCCCTAACCCCTAAACTCAAAATGCGCAGCTCGCCTGCTGCAGCAGCACTGAAGCGCTAAAACGGGTAATGAGCACCTGAGACGTGGTGGCTTTTCAGGGCTGACCATGGTCTTGGACGGGTCTTACTAGGGTTTTGTACTGGCCTCTATTTCGGTCTTGTAAGGCTTTGTATTTGTAAGGGCTTCACAGCGGTACTGTAAGGATGATACCATCATGCTACAAGACTTTTATCAGGCTTTCACAGCGTTTCGTAAGTGTCTTACCGGTTTCCGAAGGGCTTGGAGGGTTTAGGGTTTAGGGGCTTTAGGCAGACCCTGACTAATAAGCAGCGGGCGTGTTTCGAACTATGCTTCTACTCGACATGCTCCATCAAAGGCCTTCGAGCCGGAGATTGGTGGTGGGGGGGTGGAGGGGGGGTATCAAGTTTCAGGTCGCACCCCGCCCTGATTTGGAAAGTTCTAGGTTCTGTAAAGCCTTGGCATTAAACTCGGCTAGAAGAACTGACTAAAGCACGAAAGAGGGAATGAGCGTACTTTCGGCGGTGCGTTCTTGATTCGAGAGCAGCTTGCCATTATACGAGATTGCCCACGCGACCTACTAGAGAATTTTGATCCCTCAGGTTACAGGTCTGCTAGTCCGCCACCAGCGTTCCATATGGGTAGTTGTCAAAATAGGGGTCCCTCTTTGGGTACCCTAAATAATAGGTGCCGCATTATAATAATGAGCCAAAAAGGGAGCCTAATTGTGACAACCACCCATATCCAGAAACCCTGGACATTCAGGTCGAAAAGCCTGTAGATTGGAATCCTAAACCCTAAACCCCTAATCTAGGGGCCTTAATAATTGTAATAGGGTTTTGGGCCCATTATACTAGAGTTACTATAGTTACAATAAGGAATCCCCAAAATAGTAGTGGTTATTATTTAAGCCCCTACATTAAACCCAAAGCCATGTTGGACCTACTGCTGGGTGCTTCGAGATGCAGACCCCGCAACTGCGGCCTTAAGAGCAGGCAACGGTTTAGGGTTTAGGGCTTACTAAGCCTCTCATGCACTGGAACTTCTCAGAGATTTGGGGATGTTGAGATTCTGATTTAGATAAGGCTTAGGGGTTTAGGGTTTAGGGTTTAGCAGATTGGGGTTTAGGGTTCAGGGTTTAGGACCCAGAACCCCCCAACATGCACAAGGACGCAACTACTTTTTTTCCACCATCGTTGTTGACAGTGCGCCAGGACAAGTATGCCCACAGACTTGGGGCGAAGAGCGCTAGAAATCCTTTTAGGCTTAGGGTTTAGGATTTAGGGCTTAGGGTGATTAGGACAAATCGGCTTGCACAAAGGGTTTAGGGTTTGGTAGAGTGGTTCTGGTGGGAGTGCCTTCTTGTTTTCTGCGGAGGAGGGTGGGTGTCCGCCAGAACACGCATAATCACAACACATAAGCGGCATATACCGACCTTAACTCCAGAGTCTACAGAACTGGAATGTTGAAAAAACAAAGATGCCTTGTGTCGGGATGATGCAGAGATGACAGGTGTAGGCTGTTGCTGTAAATCCCTGTGTGACATGGTGGCTCTGGAATGTCGCCATCGTCGTGTCTGTTGACCTCGCATGTCGTATAGGCCATGACTACTGCGACTGAATTACTAGGCTGGCCAAAACAGCTACACAAAGCTGTGGCATAGATCTTGCTGTTTCACATAGGGCCTCCTACCCGTGCCTCGAACAAGGCCACCCAAAACCGAAATCCTCATT